GTTATCAGTATTGCTGCAAACATAGCTTTGTAAACTTTGTTTTGTAATTTGTCAAACCATTGGTTAAGAATGTTATACTACGGCTGGCGCCGCAGCTCACTAGGCTAATCCTCTGCCTGCAGTGCCGGCACCCCAGGTTCTAGTCCCGGTCGGGGCACCGGATTCTGTCCTGGTTGCCCCTCTTCCAGGCCAGCTCTCTGCTGTGGCCAGGGAGTGCAGTGGAAGATGGCCCAAGTGCTTGGGCCCTGCACCCGCAAGGGAGACCAGGAGGAAGCACCTGGCTCCTGGCTTCGGAGCAGCGCAGCGCCAGCCGTAGTGACCATTTAGGGGTTGAACCAATGGAAGGAAGACTTTTCTGTCTCTCTCATTAGCTAACTCTGCCTGTCAAAAAAAAAAAAAAATTAAAAAAAAGAATGTTCTACTACTATAGTTCTAATGACCTGTGACTACTTTAGAAATTACTGAGTATGGGTGAATGGACATTTTTCCATTCAAGCATTGTTTAGAGCTGTTGTCTGTTTTCCCACTAAACTATGGCCTGTTTCTTTCTACTTTTAAACTTCTTATCCGTCAAAGCATTAAGCCTTTTACTGAAATGTAATTTTAAAATACATTATCTCAAAAACTAAAAAAGACAGAAAGGGAGAAGGAAGGAGACTGGGAGGGAGGGTGTATCATGTCCTTAGAATTCTATCTACAAATCACATTGACTCTGTTAAAAAACTAATTAAAAATTAAAATTTAAAAAACATTTTAAAACACAAAAATTAAAAAGAAAGAGGGACGGAGGAAGAGAAGTTCCACTATGTTCTTAGAATTCTATCTGTGAGCTGCATTAAATTTGTACTCTTTGTATCAGTGAAAAAGAAAATGTGATGTAAAAAAAAAAAAAAAAGTGGGGCTAAGGAAGCTCTCGTCCAGGGTTCCTGGGCCCCAGCGCCGCACTTGTCTTAGGCTGGACCCTGCTCTGCTGAGGGGAGGGGCCCCGTCCTGTGAGCTCTGGGTTGTGGCAGCACCCCTGGCCCTACCCACAAGATGCCAGCACTCCCCCACACACAAGGAAAGCTTTGCTGACCAAATACCAGATACCCCTGGGGGCCCTAAATCCTACCTACCCGAGAACCACTGCCCCTACCACAGTCTGCCTCCCACCTGCCCCCTCATAGCGCAAAGCAAGCCTCAAAAGGATCGGAGGTTTTCAAGTAACGAATCCCCACGCCAGAACAAAGTTCAACACTTTTTAAAGGAACACAACAAAACAAGCACCATCCCAGAAGTTATCTGATGTGCAGAGAAGAAAACAGGACCCACACTGAGGGGAAAGCCATCCTGAGAAAGGGATGCAGAAAGAGCAGAGGCTGAGACCCGCGGAGAGCAGCGCTCCCACAGCTGGCCCGGGCCCGCCCCCGTGCCGGAGAAGGCGAGGAAATGGGACAGTGCAAGAGCTGGGGTGGGGGGCGCCAGCTGGTGCCCGCATGTGTGTGCGCCCATTTGTTATTTACTGCCAATGCCTTGGTCTGCTCTGGGCCCTGAGTCACAATGGCCCCGACTGGGCCATGAATGTATGCGCCTTGGCTCCTAGACCCAGCCATGCATGAGCTGTGCTGGCCCCACTTCCCCTCCCCACCTCCAGCGGGGAGAGATGAACAGGAAGGAAGCATGCAAATGGTGATGGAGGTTTTGATAAATAGCTGGAGGCACGACCAAACCCAGATTTCCAAACACAAAGCCATAGGATGGGCCCGTGGTGGCTTGCAAGCCCAGGCCTATCATCAGGAATTTCTCAACCCACATTCTCGCTCTGGGCAGTATCACCAAAGTCTACACGGCTTCCCATCCTGACATCGTGAAGCCGCCAAGATCCACCTCACAGAGAGTCTCGGAATGTGTCCACACTTGCAATGTGGACAGCAAGCAGAGCGAAGACACGGGCCCATGTCACTGCCCAGGTCGGGTGTGCTGACCTCCGAAGATTGTCGGATTCCTGCGCAGGAGCCGCTGCTACCGTGCTGTGTTCCTAAGGGTTCAGGGCGTTGGAGTGAGGAGCAGCTGCGGCTCTGCCTGTGTGAGCACAAGGATGGGCTGCGCGTCCTCTCCTCCTCCTGCTCCAAGCTCTGCCTGCCCCCCAGCACCACGGGCCTTCCCTCTAGTTCCTATTCAAGGCCATCGGGGCTAGTGGATGGGCCACCCCTGCCATCCAAGGGGATAGGTGACTTCTCCAAACCTTAACACAGCTCAGGCCTAAGCCATGGTTTCAGAAAAATCACCGTATGGAGGGCCGGCGCTGTGGCGTAGCCGGTAAAGCCACTGCCTGCAGTGCCAGCATCCCATATGGGCGCTGGTTTGAGACCGGCTGCTCCACTGCCGATCCAGCTCTCTGCTGTGGCCTAGGAATGCAGTGGAGGATGGCCCAAGTGCTTGGGCCCCTGAACCTGCATGGGAGACCCAGAAGAAGCTCCTGGCTCAGGATCGGCCCAGCCCCAGCCCTTGCAGCCACTGGAGGAGTAAACCAACAGACGGAAGGTCTCTCTCTGCCTCTGGCTGTCTGTAACCCTGCATTTTAAATAAAATCAATATATTTAAAAAAAAAAAAAAAGAAAAACCCCCATATACGGGCCTTACACACCGCCCAGGTAGAGTTCAGAGCCTCTCAGAAGTTGAAATCCATGAGTTTTTAACAAAATCAAAATCTCCAAAACCAATTGACTTGAAAACCAGTAAGTTGAACCCAGAGCCTCTGTGCCCTGAGAGGTCATCCTGAGGGCCTTTGGCCCGTCTCTCACCCCAGGAGGTACTTTGTGGTCACACCCTGGGCAGGTTAACTTACGGCCCTAAAGAGAAGGCGTCCCGAAGGCCACGCCCAATGGCAGGGCTCAGAGGATGTGAACTGGGCTCTCTTGGACCCTCAGCTCGGGAACAGAGGAAGGAACCTCCCTCCTTCTTAGGTTCCCTGATTTAAATGGTGCCAACATGCCCCTGTGGGAATAATAGGTAGGAGGAGAGTTCAATGAGTGGGAAATATTTGAAATTCTGACATGTGGGGCGGGTGCTGGGCCCAGCAGCTAAAGTCACCACTTGCTATGCCTGCATCCCACATGGGTACACCCGGTCCCATCCTGGCCACTCTGCGCCCAATCCGGCTCCCTGTAGATGACACCCCGGGAGCCAGCAGGTGCGGCTCAGGAGCGTGGGTCCCTGCCACCCATGTGAGAGACCTGGATTGAGTTCCAGGACCCTGACTTCTGCCTGGCCCAGCTCTGGCTGTTGCACACATTTGCAAAGTGAACCGGCAATGAAAAACCTCTCTCTGTTTGTCTATTTCAAATAAAAAAAATTTCTAAAATGTTTTCCACTAAAAGTCATGAGCAGAGCTCAAAATTCAGAGGGGGTAGGAGGTGTGAATCCCACCCGAGGGTTTTCACACTTGGCCTGCCCTTGACGGGAAGAAGCAACCCAGACCCCTGCGCGCACCACTTCCCAAGTCACAGACGCACGAGAACGCCTCCATCGCTGACTGCCTGTGAGGGATGGGGGTGGGTGTCTGGGGCCCATCGAAACGCCCTGGCTCATCTGCTGGCCATCAGTGGAGTGCAGCATCGGGCCAGGAAAGTCTGCAGCCGTGACCTCCGCTGTATTTGAAGTGTGACAACTTTCTGCAAAGATGCACTTTCTAACCCTGCCACGCTCAGTGTGGCTGTAGCAGTAACAGAAGTTTTGTGCACGCGCGCACAAACACACACACGGAAATGGGAACACCAGGGCTGTTGTTTGTTACGTAGGGTTTTGAACACGTTTGTAAAAATGCCTGATAACATAACTCAAGAAGTTTTTTTTCCTTCTCTCTAGAGGACTGGGGAATAAATCTTATGAAAATTGTGCCATGATAGAATCCTGTCCTCATCCAATTAATTCTTGTGAATAATAACATCTCTGGTTTCTTTCAATTATATTCTAATTGCACACCTTTTGCTCAGGTTGACTGGGCATTGAAGTAATGAACAACTATTACTGATTCTAATTAACACCATTATTTCTGCGGCCTTTACATCTCTGTGGTAAACATGGAGAGTCACACCCCCAGGGCAGGAACGCCAAGAAGCCTGCTCTGAACCCGACAAACCTGTTCCATCCGCTTTGTGCTGGCCGCCTCCCCGCCCGGGGTTAGGACAAGAGAGCCAGAGTCCCTGCCAGCACTCATGGGAGGGCGTCAGTACTCAGACAGGCTGCCCTTCCCTAACGCAGCAGCCATTTGCCTGTTCCATTTATCCTGAGAGACGGGAAAGTGAGCTGCTGGGAGTCACGTCCAGTGTCGTTTATAATTTATCCCACGTATAATAAGGAGCGGGTCAGATTTCACGTGTTTACTTTCCAAAAAGATAACTGCTTGTGGCGGATCCTTCGCTGCCGAAGGCAAATACGTTTCAGAGACAAGTTTATCTCACTCTGACATTTTAAATCCCCCAAGTTCTCCTTTCTCTCACGCATCGATTTCTGCCCGAAAGTTAGAGCTCATCCTCAAAGCCTGAAAGACTCTTCGTGCTGGCCCAGCTCGGATCAATCCGTTCTCCCTCCATCAAGGTGAGCCCTGTGTATTCTAAACAATGTCTAGAGAAAGACATGGGAATTTGCTTTTAAAGACAGGTCATCGCAAACGTACCGCTAAGAAGGTTTAGCTCCCAGAAACATCCTGGGGCTTCAAAATGTGGAAGCCAAGTGCCCGGCTTTGTTGTCCTGGGAGCAACCACTAGAATGATTGTAAATGCAGACAAGCACCCTGGGAAAACCCCATGCATCAATACACCTGCTCCTCCCCAACTTCCAATAACTGAGATCAATTAACGGGGGGAAAGTCTTTTCTAAGTCCCCGGGAAAGACCACAGCCAGATGTGCCGCAGGTCTCCAGTGAGATAAACACCCCATCCGCTGCCGGGTGAGCAACGCCTCCATTACTCCCAGAGCCCAGCGTGTGCCCTCAGGCCCCCGCCCGGGGCCAGCCGTACCTCGTATGTGCTGGCTGGCTGCTCAGGGGTCGTCAGGCCTGCACGCATGTGGATGAGGCAAACCTTGGCTCTTCTCTGCGAGGGAAGCCAGTTACTCTGCACCAAATCCATGAGCATCACGTGGTCTTTCAGCTCTGTACGAAACGCTTTTATCTGAAAGGCCCGGTGCACAGCTGTTGCCGCGGGGCGGGCAGCACACGCCCGAGCCTGAGTTTCTGTAGGAATTCTGGAATGCTGCATGACACCTGGAATCCTGCGACTTCAGCGCGTGGCTTGGCCAGCCCACGTTTCTCTGCTGAACTCCAGGAACTGAGGGCAACAAGGACGTGGGAAGGGCCGCAGCCCCGACCTGTCCTTCCGTCTTCCACCTGCACAGCCAGTTATTCCAAAACCCCGGATGGGGTCGAGAAGGCTGGGGAGGTAGATGGCTCAGGGGCGGCCTTTTTTTGCTCCTTTTTGCCGCGGTCTGGCCCCGGCCTCATGGCGGAGCTCTGGGGTCACTTGACGTCTTCTCCGGTTTCAGAGCAACCTTGTTCTTTTCTTCTGCTCTGGGACAGCAGGATCCACCTGATCACCGAGAGAGAGGCTCGGTATGTTTTTCCGTCTCTGGCCCGTCGAATCCAAATACATTATTTATGGCGCTCTGCACAAAGGAGCCCGAAGGGCCGACTGCTGCTTTTTACAATCCCCACTTCTTCTCGCCAGGGCTGAAGGGAACAAGCGCAGACCGCCTCGCCACACAAAGAGTGTCCTCAGCCCGGCAGATAAGAGGCACATTCAAGGGAGAAAGAGGACGCCTGGCACAGAAGCCACAGCCACACAGGGCACAGTGTGGGGCGCCAGCGGGACAGCGCAGACTCAGACAAGAGCTCTGGGCCTGGGTCCATCGTGGGAAATCCCCCACACCACCCTAATCCCCAGCAGGGATACTGGAGAGAATGCACCCGACTTGCCACGCACAGGGCTATTGTCAGGGGTGGTGTGCGCGATCCAGTGAGAGAAGATCACGTTTTTCTGCCCACAGCGGGCCCTCCACGTCTCTGCTAGAGTGGACATTACCTGGTGCTGAAAACTGCTGGATTCTTAACCTCAAACCATCCAGAAGCGCAGATCCAATCTGTACATTCTCCATCCTTCTATTTCATGTTTTGGCACCGTTTCCACTACCCTGGTCATGTCGAGGTGAAATGCCGTCATGTAAATGATGGCAGGTGCACAGCTGTGCGTCGAGTCCACACGCATGATGGCAGGTGCACGGCTGTGCGTCGAGTCCACACGCATGATGGCAGGTGCACGGCTGTGCGTCGAGTCCACACGCATGATGGCAGGTGCACGGCTGTGCGTCGAGTCCACACGCATGATGGCAGGTGCACGGCTGTGCGTCGAGTCCACACGCATGATGGCAGGTGCACGGCTGTGCGTCGAGTCCACACGCATGATGGCAGGTGCACGGCTGTGCGTCGAGTCCACACGCAGAGCTCTTCTCTGTGGCCACTTCCTCTGGGCCAGTCTGCAGCGGCTACAGAGGCTCCAAAGATCACCGAGGCTGCAGCTCACCTTTCTCTCTGCCTTGGCCACAGGCGGTGTCGGGACTTTGGCTAGGAAGGACACAGGAGAGAATGGAGTGGGGTGTTAGGCCGCTCTGCAGAACTCTCCGCTGATGTGACTGTAGGCAAACTCTCCCCCGCCCAGCTTCTGTTCCCTTTGCCCACAAGCCCCCCGGCTGGTCCAATACCCCTGGATTTAAGAGTGTGTCCATTCTGGCACTGTAGACACCCTTGACAGGTGCAGCAGCTCCACCCTGGGGCAGGCTGACCCCAGGAAAGGTAAAGAGGGGTCTCTGCACATGATACCTCCCCTGAGTCACAGTGGAGGACCCAGTGGGGAAGGGGGAAGGGGCTCCCATCTTCCCATCTGAACCCACAGCCATTGCTCCTGATACCCCACATGGCCACCATCCCCAGGTCCAGCCTCTGGGCCACCTGGAAGCTGACCCCAAGTCAGAGGGCCTCGCTTCCCTCCAGCACTCACAGTGCTGGCCCTGCGACCTCGGGCAAACGGCCTTGGTTTCCCCAGCTGTGGAATGGCCCCTCTTCCACGGCTGCTGTGAAGACCAAGGGAGCCATCGCAAGCAAACGCTCAGGACAGAGCCTCGTGCTGGGAATGTGCTGCCTTTAGAAGCGGCAAACTCCTGGAGGGGGAGCAGTAACCGAGGGGCCATCTTAGGACCCTCTTTCCAGGAGCCCCTCTGGGGCAGGTGGCCAGCCTTGCTTTCTCAGATGGAAACGCAGGGAGCATCCCCTGGGCAGGTTGTAGCAAATGGTGTGTTAAGTAGCTGGTGTGAAGCAGTTTTATAAACTGCGTGTGTTTAACCATTCAAACACAGATTTTTCTCGCCAGAGGCTAAAAGCACAGTAGAAGGGAGACGTGCAGGCACCAGCACAAGCCGGGCTGGTACTGCCCCCGCCCCCAGCCCTGTCCCCCAGGACAGAGGTCAGCCACACCCAGAACTGGAGCCGTGCCTCCACCTCCCATGCAGCGCCTGGGACCTGGAACGTGGCCTGCCCTTAGGGGAGCCCTTCCCCACCTCTACCCCAACCCTGCCCCGCTGGTCCCCGTGGCAGCTGGCTGGGCTCCAACTCCACCTGTCTCTGACCACTGTCAATGACACAGCTGGCTCAAGGGGCCAATCCGGGTCTGTGTGTGTTTTGGGCTGAGTACCTGTGTGCCCTCAGGAGCCGCATGCTGCGGCTTTAACCCCCAAAGGGATGACCCTGGAGATGCAGCCTCCCGGAGGGAATTAGGGTTAAATTGGGTCATGAAGGCATCCGCGATAGGATTAGCGGTCTGATCAGAGGAGGTACTGAGATCGCGACCCTGGGGGCCATGTTGTGGCACAGCAGGCCAAGCCCCCAACTCAGCCGGCCTGGGATCCAGTCCCACCGCCTCTTCCAACCCATCCTCCTGCCACGGTGCCTGGGAGGGAGCCCAAGCACCTGGCTTCCTGTCACCCACGTGGGAGACCCAGATGGAGCTGCTGGCTTAGGCCGGGTCCAGCCTCAGAGGCTGCAGGTGTCTGAGGGAGTGAACCAGCAGATGGAAGCACCCATGTTTCTTCCTATTTAAAATAAGTCAACAAATAAAACTTTTTTTGGAAAACTGAGAGCTCTCCCCCTGCCCTCAGGAGTGCCCAGGAAAGGCGGGGGGGGGGGGGGCCCACAGGGGAAGGCGGCCACCTGCAAGCAGGAGGAGACACCACCCCGGGAACCTAACTCTGCTGGCACCCTCACCTGTGGCCTCCAGCCTCCTCATGTCTGTTGTTTCAGGCACCTGGTCTACCATCTTTGGTGACAAGAGCCCCAGCTCAGACAGCACCAGGGAGTGTGAACGCCACCAGTCAGTTGATGGCCCAAGGGTGGTCCCTGGCCCTATATAGCCTATGCTGGAGCCCCTGGCCCTGCAACCACACAAGAGTGGGTGCCCCAGGCTGCAAATGCTTTGGGCGTGGCCGGTGCAGGCAGCTCCCAGAGGCAGGGGCAGGAGCATCTGGATGGCTCTGGCGCCCTGGTCACCACCCAGCACCACTCTGCCCATGAGTTCGATGGGAGGCTCCAGTGTCTACACTACCTTCCCTGTCAGGCTTAACCCATGGACGTGGGTTTCTGTCGCTTACAGCCAGCAGGGTTTGAGGTCACCTTTGAAAAATCCCTCTGTGACTGCATGAGCAGATGGACGGTGCTCCGGAGCCAGGCTCTGTACTGGACGCCCGAGATGCAGAGATGAAAGGGAAATGCACTCCGCGAGGAGACGCAGGGGCTCAGAGTGCAGGAAGTGCTTCCCGTGGGCATTCCCACTGACGTCACCAAGACACCAAGGATCCCTCCCAGAGGACGGGACGTGGCAGCAAGTCTAGACAAAGGGCGACACTTGCAGCTGAAGCCCCGTGGTCAGCAGCGCGCAGGTGGACATGCGCCGTGGACACCCGCCCTCTCACCTGCCATCAAGCGTCTGTAGCCGGGACTGCGGTGGCACGAACTGAAGCTGCGCTACTGAAGACCAGCAGCAGCATTTAGGCAGAACCACCGCTCTCCTTTGCTGATTTCCCCCGAAGCCCACGACAGTCAACCACAGAAGTGTGAGCCCTGTTGCCGTCCTGCAGAAAACCCTACTTCATTTCCCTAAACTGGCCCCCGGAGCGACCACTGCCAGCAGAGGGAAGCCGGTGGCACCAAATCAGCCTAAACAAGGCTGGACTGTATTTAGGGTGGAATGTACAGGGATTGGGGGTCGGCGCTGTGGCACAGCAGGTTAAAGCCCTGGCCTGAAGCGCCGGCATCCATACGGGCACCGGTTCTAGTCCCCGCTGCTCCTCTTCCTGTCCAGCTCTCTGCTATGGCCTGGGAAAGCAGTAGAAGATGGCCCAAGTCCTTGGGTCCCTGCACCCACGTGGGAGACCCGGAAGAAGCTCCTGGCTCCTGGCTTCAGATCGGCGCAGCTCCGGCCGTTGCGGCCATCTGGGAAGTGAACCAAAGGATGGAAGACCTTTCTCTCTGTCTCTACCTCTGTGTAACTCTTTCAAATAAGTAAAATAAATCTTAAAAAAGAAGTGTACGGGGATTAATCCCTTCTGACTCCCTTGCCCCGCACATGACTTGCAGGGCTGTGTAGGACACACTGAAGTGTTAAATGCGAATTATTCAAAAAAGAAAGGACCTGCAGGAACCTGGTGCCAGAAGCTCCTGCCAGTGCGTTCTTAATCCGTCCTCCAGTGGGATCAGCATTTACAACGATGAAAGACGTCCGAATCACGCAGCTTCAGAGTTGGTTTTCTGCAGGGCCCACGCAGATCTAGAGAGCGTTAGGCAACAATAAAAACAGATGACTGTGAATTTTTGAATTTATAATTTAGCCTTCCTTTCCAGGGAAGTAACATTTTTATTTTTGGCCACTTTGTTCGTCATGGGGGTGCTGAAGCCCCTCTTTCTCCAGGGGCAGTGCTGGCTGCACACACATCTGAGCATCATGCTTCCTACGCAGAGTGTGACCCCCCAGGGCCGTCCTGCTGGGGTCTGTGGACAGGCATCTCCCCTCCTGTTAGTTTCAGTCCACAAGGGCACCATAACACCAAAGGACTCAAAGTAAAGTGGCCCCTTACGGGATCCTGCTCCTCGAGCCAGGTTAGGAAGACGGTGCAAGTGTGCTGGGTGCGTTGCATTCTCTCGTCAACTTTCTCGCTCCTGGGTCCCATGTGATGGGAAGTGTCACTCCCCCTCTTTGCGGAGGAACGACACAGGACCCTGCGCTGTTCTTTTGTCTGCTCGGCCCTTCCCGGGTTTGCTGCTGGTCCTTCCCGGGTTGGCTGCTGACCCCTCCACCTCCGTGGAAGGGCGGTTCCCCCTGCCACTTTCCCCACTTCCGCGGGGGAGCGGCACACCGCCGGCCGGCTCTCTCGGGGGCTGCTCAGGTGTTATCCGGATGTTCCCCTTAGATGTTCCTGGTGCATGTTGTCTCTCTCCTCCTTTATAGTCCTCTTCCACCAATCCCAACTCTGCTACCCACACTCCGAGTACGCTGCTCTCCTCCAATCAGGAGCAGGATCAGCTCCTGCAGGTTATTGGTCAAACTGGAGGCAGCCG